GTTGAATTGGTCACCATTTCAGTCGCCGAAGAGATCACTTTTCTCGACTATATTCGCAGCGGAACTCAAATGCATTTTGCGGTTGCGATTGACTTCACCGCCTCTAACGGCGCCCCAAGAGATCCACTATCACTGCATTATTTGGATATATATGGCGGTCGACCCAACCCTTACGAGATAGCCCTTAGAAGTGTTGGCGATATTATACAGCCTTACAATAGCGCTGGTATTTATCCAGCATTTGGTAAGTTCTCCTAAATTTACAATTATTTATTGGATTTAATATTCAATTCAATGTTAACTGCGATAGGATTCGGAGCGAAGATCCCTCCGACTGGCGAAGTGTCACATCTATTCCACTTGAATGGCATTCCATCGCATCCGTACTGCAGTGGAGTGACTGAAGTTCTGGACCACTATCGCAAACGATTGGCTTCAGTCACGCTCTACGGGCCGACAAACTTCTCTAATGTTATCAATAACACGGCTTCCATTGCCCAGCAATACGAAGACGGAAAGCATTACTTTGTTTTGTTGATCATAACGGATGGCATTATCTCTGATATGATTCACACGAAACGCGCGATCATTAATGCGTCCAAACTTCCGATGTCTATCATAATAGTAGGCGTCGGGAACGCAGACTTCGCCGCAATGGATGAGTTAGACTCGGATGACGTGCGGATGCAATTGGACGGCAAGTATGCCGAGAGAGATATCGTACAATTCGTGCCGTTGAATAAGTTTGTGTCCCAAAACGGGCCATTCATTAGAGCGCAGGCAGATCTGGCCAAAGAAGTATTGTATGAAATACCCCAACAAATGACTGGATATATGAGATCCAGAGGTTTTAAACCAAATATTCCAGTGCCTATCACTTCCAACAATACCGCACAAGCGTTTGATTCCCAACCCATACATCCCGTACCAAATGCACCGCCGGTTTTGATCGCATAAATTTATTCTACATTTTTTACAATTAATTTATTAAAATTTAAACTAACGATTGAATTCTCTATTGATTGACTAAATGTTTACAATTTTATGAATATTTGCGAACAAATATTGAATTTTTATATTTCCATTCTCATTGTAAGTGTAATGTATTAAACTTTTAATAACATTTATTAACTAATTGATATGTGATTTACTTTCTATTTCATTCAATTTGAATATTTAGAAAAGTCTTCTTAAACCAAATATTGATATAAACCAAAAACTATTGTGTTTTCTATTTATTGATTTGTTTATTGAATAAATTATTAAAACTTAAAATGCTATTTCTAAATGTTGTGTGAAAGTTGTTTTTTAAGACTAAAAATATTGAGTTAATATTTGTGACATTTAGATTAGAAAATAATTGGCATAAACTTTATACCGATAAACCTTTAAGCCATAAGAATTGTTAAGTATTGCTATTTCATACAATCAGATATGAATGATGTGTTAAATCAGAGTATTAACAGCACATCTCTAATAGACGTAAGAAGTATTAATTCTTGACGTCAATTAAAAGACAAATAATAAAAAAATAGGTATTTTATAGAAATAATCTAAAAATATTTACAGCAATGAATTACTAATTTATTGCAATCATATATTTTTAGATTGAATTTAGCGAAAACATCTCATGACATGTAAAACGAGTCAATGTCTGGCCGTAAGAATATTCTTGAATTGCATGCAAACGTGAAATGCAATTATTATTCAAATGGATTATTATAACTGAAATTTAATTTTAAATGAAATATAATAGAGATAAATGTAAATGTAATGCAAAGGGATGTCTAGGCTATTGTTTGACATGAAATGATATGTAATAATACGATAATCTGGTATAACATTACATAACTGTAAGAGTAAAGCGTTGTATTGATTGGTAAAGCGATGAAGGAGTGAATGAATGGGTGTTTACAGAGAGTGAAACACTTGTTGTCAATACAGAGAGAGTGTCGTAAACACAGGCATAACAGTAAACATTGCCTCACATTCACTACATTTGGTCAACAAATGCCAATCCATTCAACAATTGATGCCAGAAATCGATACTTAATTATCATTACATTTATCACACAATATTGTATTGTATTTCAATGTGTGACTCAAATACACATTCATTGACAGTATATCACAACAAATACATTGTGTTTTGTGTTATGTAATCATAATTGAGATAAATGTGCAAAAAGTTGTTATATTTTTTTATTGACACAAAAATATGACAA